CATTTCTAACCACATTATCTTTGTTAGAACATTTCCTACTTCTTTTCATACGCCATCAAATCAGCTTTGGCTCTTAGTCAGAGACTGCGGATGATATCAGTGACGATGATCTTTGTTTTGGTCAGAAGGAGCTACCACAGCCATCCCACAAGTCAGATTCTCCTCATCACCTGAGGGGCATGTGGTAGGAAAGACGTTGTGAACATCCCCACAGGGGATGGTATTTGTAACATAGACTGATTTGTACTGACTTGAGTATTTCAGTTTTACTCTTCTTCTACTCCATTACATCTCAAAGGCAGATGCTTTTTACTGCACTACATTTATCTGATGGTAGACAGTAGTTATAGCATATAAAGTGTTTCAAATCAGCTCCATCTCAGCCAAGTACAACATTAACATGCTGGCTACTTATTAATGCACCCATGAGATTAATCCAATAAGATGTAATAACACTAAACACACAAGTATTTTCGTTTGTGATACTTTCAGTAAATGTTGCTAATAATACTTTTACTTTTAATCAAGTAAAACTTTGAATGCTAGAATATTACTTCTACTGCTACTTATTCAACCACTAGGAATGTCAGTGTAAGAAACTGGGACACACCGTAGTAAATTGTAGTGTTGAACTGCCATCTAGTGGTGAAATTACAGTCAGATCCAAACCAATGTTCCCTTCTCACATTTGATTTGACACAAACAAAGTATTCATCAGTCAAAATGTCTATTTGTGTCTATCAGTCTCATTGTGTAAGGTTCTAGTTGTTCTGTCACATTTTTAAACAGCCTCCTTAATTTTTCTATTCTTTGGAAATCTGTTTGCAGATTTCATTTCTGTCTGTGACAGTTTCACCTCCTCACATGTTTGTGTGAGACACAAATAGACAAAGCACAGAGGCAGACACATCCAAAGACATGGCAGTGTGTTCTGTCAGTGTTACTGAAGCTGCAAAGACTCAACGCCTCCGGAGGTCAAACCACAGCCACAAGAAAGTTTCCAAATATTTAATGGTTGTACGTGTTCTCTGTGAGGCCGTCGCTTTTCCAGCTCTTGAATCCAGCAGACTTTTCTTTCTTTCTTTCTTTCTTTCTTTCTTTCTTTCTCTCTCACTCTAATGTTCATTTCCTCCATCCCTTTTCAGGGTGGGGGTGTTCGGCCAGTCGGACACGAGATTGGCGCCAGGTTTGGTCGCCTGTTTCCGTGAGAGTATCAAATCTAAGCTAAGTGTAACAAGCCCCAGCGGAGCAGTAACCTTCGAAACTCACACCTGCATCCACGGCACTCTGCCCTGCCAGTGCTACTCTGTAATGTAAATGGATAGCTGTTATTCACATTAATCACATCATCCAGATGTGTTTTTACATTCCAGCATTCCAGCATCCAGGCAGGGCTCCCTTTTGAGGACAACACGCAGGTTAAGTTCACACAAAGCAAACCATGTAATCATAGCACAGATTGACATCTCTGCCTATTGCAGCTGAACAGTCTGTCCATCTGATGTGTAAATAGATTTCTCTTTGCCAAGAGGACAAACCCTCAAAAACAACCCCTTGACATCTAGTTAATCTCCACCATCCTCGAGAAAGAGAAAAGGTCAAGACAGTCTCTGAGGCTTTAATGACACGTTAAAAACTGGTCTGTGGAAAATCATAAGCCAAATCACCTCACCGTGGGCTCTGCTTTTGTGTCACTGCTCTTTCAAGATCATGAAAGGCAGGGCGCATGCTTACCAGGCCAGGTCTGGACTGCATGTTAGAAACCACCTGTGCTGATTTCATGAGGAAAATATTACTGTTTGAACAGAGCTGGGGGTTTTGTGCACTTCAGCTGATCATTTTAGATGTTTAATCTACCCCCAAAGCCTGCTGCTGTCAGGAAATCACAAGTTAATTAGCACAGGCACCAACTGTGTGAGAAAGTGAGTATTCTTAAGAGAGCACATCAAATCACTTGACATACAGATATTCTTAATCGACCGTTGCTTGTGATAGCCCAGATGTGCAACGGATGACGGAGCAGGAAGAGGAAACGGTCTGGACAAATGTCTGCATTGGGAAAAAGAGGATCCAAATTCTAAGCCGTTTTTTATTATTTGATATGATGAGCTGTCATGGAGAAAGGAAGGAAGTATTTATGCGTGGTATCTCTGGTAGAGGACTTGATATCTGATCTCACTGGAACTGAGAAGAAGTTCAACAGCCACGCCTGTTTGCTCCTCAACACCCAGTGGGCCTGATGCCTGCAGCCAGCCCTCGCTGTGAGCTCACACACTAATTGGTGCCAAGGAAATCGCCCTTGGGTGTTCCAGCACGGCTGAGAATGGGAGTAAAGAGGGTGGGGTTGCCTGTGTGGTGCACCATATGAAGCCACAGTCACAAGTCTTTCTCTCTACCTCTGTTTTGTCCCTCCTGTCATAAATTGTGAGGTCCTCCTGTGCAAAACCGGCGTCCAGCTCCTGTTCCAGATGTGTTTTACGGCCTCTCTGGGCCACAGACAGCACTGCCTCTCTTGGAGATACAGATGCCTTGTCGACCTGCATTGGCTACTCTGCTGAAGGGTGAATCAGAGAAAAGTTCCACAATCCCAGCCTGGGATGTGATGAAGTATTCATGTTTTGCTTTGTTTGCAAAGAATGAGCTCTTTTGTGATCAAGTGTTCTCACTTGCCGCCGTCTGTGGTTTTGTGTCCCCGGCCTTGGTTTTCTTCCTTTCCCTCTACTTTCTATTTTAATATCGCATTGATTTACGCACTGCCGTCTGGTCACCCATAACCAAGTCGTCGAGTGCTGTGATATACAGCCCCATTAATATTCTCCCTCTGGTCTGGCTGTGGGATCAGGGCGGGTACTCATCACGCTCAAGCTCCAGAAACTCAGCTCTTGCCAGTACTGAGCACATTAAGAACGTCCAGAGGAAACATCACACGGTCCAGCAGCGCTGAGTCAGGCGTCTTCCACCAAACTTTAGCTGGATTTCCAGCTCTGAGTCTGTTTAGGGTGAGCTCCAGCTCTCCAGCTACTGTCCCTCCAGTTTGGGTCATGGATTAAGATTTCACTTCTAGCACCTGCTGACATCTTGTCACTCTGGTCAAAGAGGAAATTCATCATTTTGCAACCAGAAGACAATTAAATCTAGATGTAGAAGCTTAATGCTCTCTCTCTGTGTCAAATGAAAATACGTTGTCCGCTGTGAGTGTGATTCCCATGACACCCATAGAAGAGACAGCACACAACCACTTTCAACCTTCTCTCTCTTCTCCATCCATCCACAGTCTGCCGTCACTCTGCCCATGACCACAACTAACCATAGCACACCTAAGTAAATAACCCCCCCACCAGGCTCACAGACGGGAAACTGAGCTGAGACAGCGTCTACAGGGCTCATATCATGGTAGCAGGACCTGGTCTGTGTCCCAGGAGCCAGGACCTCTCTGAACCTCTGCAGATCGGACAAGAAGCTCATTGTGTAGGAATGTGATGAGGAGGCATGGCGGAAGTTTCCATGACATGGGATTTTGCATTTTCTACCCATTTCTTTCCCAAATGTATTCTGCAAGTCTCTCAGTAGTGCTGATGGGAGAATTAACAAAGGATTTTTTTGTATCTTTGTGAGGATACACTTGAATTGGAAACGGCATATAAGTGAGTGTGGGGCTGATGTTTATACTGGAATGACACTGAAATTACAACACATATTTTTGCCCACTCGGTAGGGGTGAGGGAATAAAACAATATTTTTTAAGCTATGCCATTCTTAACATTCATGTGAAAACCACAGTCCATGCAGCATCCTGTGATTAGGATGCTAAACACTACAGCTACAAATCCAACATCTAATCTTTAATCAGCATCAGCACAGACAAATACTGTTCAGTTGAGTATTATCATCATAGGAGATAAGTATAATTTCTATCTAATCCACAACAAATTAACTTGTTTTCAACTCATTAATCCTGGATAGCACTAAATAAACAAAAAACACCACTATACCTCATTTACAGACTACAGAAGTGGTCAGTGAGTGAACCCGATAAGACTGAGAGGTCATGGAGCTCAGTTTCTGCTCTGCAGAGCAAACAACTTTAGATATTAGATATGGTTTAAAGAGCAGGCAGCAGTATAATTTGTTTGCCTGGTGAGACGGGACTGGGCAAGGCTTGGGGACGCAGAGACCTAATTAGACAGCCAAGAATACTAAAACAATTTATGAAGGCATCAGGACTGGGATGTTGCTGCTTGGATTCCCTCAAGGAATTCATTCAAATGTAAACATACTGGTACACTCATGGATGATGCACAAAGACTAAGATGGCTTGGCTAATCACATATGGAAAAAAGTTATCTACCAGGATACATTTTAGGCTTGTAAAGTGTTCTTAGTCAGCATATTTATTTAAAACATAAACATCTGAAAGTGTACAGAAATAAAGATAGTGTTATAACAGATGCTTTTCTCTTATAATCCCATGTGGGATGGACCAAATGTTTGACTGGACATGTGAAATAAAAACTAACTAACAGAGACTCTGTCCTGTGACCATGTCAGTGGTTTTAACTCTTGGGCTCACTTTCCTGATGGAGTAGCAGTGCCATCTACTGTCAAAACAGGATAGAATTAAAACTGTGATGTCAGAAAATGTAAATTGGGGAACTTTTGAGCCTACTCTGGGAATCCATTGAGAGCCCAAAATACAAGAAAGAACTGCATTCATGAATTAAAAGAGTTTTCTATAAATGTGTCCCTGCATTCATTCAATTACAACTGTTCTATTTGCATTGCCATACCATTCCAACATTGGATACACCTGAGTATATATCTAGACTGTAATTTGGCTGACAGGCATTTATGGTTTGATTTAAAGCAAGTAAAACAGCCATTCTAAACAGTGTTTAAAGGTATTGACAGGTATTGCTACACTGCTGGTAAGGCTACAGAAAGATGGGTTCATGGTCAGTAAAGGAAGACACAATTACCAAAAAACTGAATCCAACTTAGAGTTGCAGGAAACTAAAGGTTTGACATTTATTCTTTAAAAAAAGCAACCATAAAAGGCAAAGAATATATCCATCGCACGTAAATCAAAGCAAAATCAAATTATTAATTTATCCTACTGTATTGACCGTATTTTGTAAATTCAAGCCATTCAAGGTAACATTAAGTACAGTAGTTCTGGATATGAAAATGTAAGTGGTGATATACAGTACATTATGCATAGAGACATTTATGCAAAATTACAATCTAGCAGTTCTATATTTATACACCCTAACTGGTAACACTATTTGGAAAAGTCTGAATTTAAAAGTCTGATTTTAAAAATATTTTGGACTTTAAAAGCAACACCATCTCCAGTTATACTCATCATTAACAAATCACATGTTATGTTACTTTAAAATTTCTTAAACCTCACTATGTCTTGCTTTAGCTCAAATTAATGATCAGAATATAAAACAGCACCAAATAATAAAAATAAGATATAAAAAAACCACAACAATCACTAACACTAAATATCACTATGACCAATATCAGTCACTCAAGTACTGCAGGAGTTGAAGTTAGCACTGATCCTTAGCACCACACTGTATGTCCTACAACACGGCCAAAGAAATCTGCTCCACAGGTGTTTACTTTTGGTAAAAAGTAAAAGGTTGAATATGTTTGAGCTGTATGAGCTGTCAGAATAAGAAAGTGCTGCTGTGCAGCTCAAGTTTTACCCTGAAAAATGTACCTTTAACTTTCTGATGACCATTAAAATACTGAGTAAATATAGTGAACCAAGACAACTGTTCAGTTAGCTGCCAGACTAATTACTGTCAATGTCTTATTAATCTGCCCTTCAACAATGTAAACTCTGAGCAGCCTTTGTGTGGAACAATATCACAGGGTCTCATTATTTTATTTGGTGGAAGCATATGTGTAACCTTTATTTCACTGACATGAAGTACAAATGTCGATTCTTGTCCTGATGACAGAGAGGCCAAAGTTCACAGGCGGCTAGCTGTGAGACGTTCAGGAGACAGGCTTCTTTTGCTGTTAAATGCCTAAAAAAAAGATAATGATGTTGATTATATTTACAACCTTTGAGTAAAATTTCAATAAAACTAATCCAAATACATAGAGCTTTGATTTTAAAGTACATACCCTTAGGGCCATGGGTGTGCATGCATGTTGTTAAGTGGAAAGAATTTTATGAGTAGCTAAGCAATGTTAAACCAAACACATGGATGTAATCTACTTTGCAAACAAAAAACAAATGGTGCCTCTCTTTCTGTATGTTTGATTGCAATGTCAAATATTATAGAGACTTACAAGACTGCGAGAGGGGCTGAGAGAACGAGAGCGCACAGGGCTGGCACTCCTGCTCCGGCTTCTGCTCCACTGCAAAAAATGACACATCCCCAGGAAACACATGAGCCTTTCCATGCGCTTTCACTATTCTCTAGAGCAAAACTTCAATTAATATTAATAATATACACTGAACAAAATTATAAATGCATCACTTTTGTTTTTTCCCCCATTCATCAAGAGCTGTGTAGCTCAAAGATCTAAGACTTTCTCTATGTACACAAAAGGCCTATTTCTCTCAAATATTGTTCACAAATCTGTCAGAATCTGTGTTAGTGAGCACTTCTCCTTTGCCGAGATAATCCATCCACCTCACAGGTGTGGCATGTCAAGATGCTGATCAGACAGCATGAGTATTGCACAGGTGTGTCTTAGGCTGGCCACAATAAAAGGCTACTCGAAAATGTGCAGTTCCATCAAACAGCACAATGCCACAGATGTCGCAAGTTTTGAGGGAGCGTGCAGTTGGCATACTGACTGCAGGAATGTCCACCAGAGCTGTTGCCCGTAAATTAAATGTTCATTACTCTACCATACACCGTCTCCAAAGACGTTTCAGAGAATTTGGCAGTAGATTCAACCGGCCTCACAACCCCCCCAATACAGTGAAACTGCAATGCAACCTGCGCAATACCCATGCTGTCTGATCAGCATCTTGATATGCCACACCTGTGAGGTGGATGGATTATCTCGGCAAAGGAGAAGTGCTTACTGACACAGATTTAGACAGATTTGTGAACAATATTTGAGAGAAATAGGCCTTTTGTGTACATAGAGAAAGTCTTTGAGTTCAGCTCATGATGAATGGGGGCAAAAACAAAAGTGTTGCGTTTATAATTTTGTTCAGTGCATATATTTTTGAAGTATTATACAGTCAGTACCGGGGCACCCCTTCTAGTCACGGCCTCGCCCTTCACTACCACAGCATCTCCTTCCATCAAGGCTGGCCACACGTGGTACATCACCAGAGGAGCAGTGAACTCTGAGTCATAGCTCCGGCGATACCTGTCAGACACAGAGATGGAGAGCTGTGAGAAGTTACGGTATGTGCAGAGAAAGCAAATAACAGTGATCGTGATAAGTGATATGCTGCACTTCATAGGGGGATGTTTTACAATGATTGTCTGGTAAAGTTAATTTATACTATGTATAATTACAAGCATCAAAATTGAGCAAATGAGCACCACAACTTTACTCTCTGTCATGAGAGCCAAATTCCTGTAAAAGAACAAACTCTGGTAGCCCTAATGAAGAATTTAGACACAAAACACTGACTTGCAGTCATTGTAAAGTTCTCCATCACTTGCAAAGGCCAAGTCAAGTGGGGGGTCCAGTGTCTGCATGGCAAAGGCCACCCTGCATGTCTCCCTGATCAAGGTACTGATGAGGACAAAGTCCACCTCTGGCGGGAAAGAGATCCGAGGGTTCACGTTCATGGCATTGATCACATCCTGGGAAGAAGAAATACAAAGTCAGATACACTGCCTCAGTCTCAAACTATTTTCATTTGTCAATAAATCCCACAGGTGACACATGATAGAAGTATTTAGTCCTACATTGACGCTGGCCTGAACATCATAGAGGTCCAGGTTTCTAACGATGTAGTCCACAGCTGCATCCTCTAGACTTTCTGGCCCATAGTGGGATGAGGACAATGTCTTTCTCACACGCAACTTGAACTGACGGTAAGCCAATTTTGCTGTCTTAAAGGATTCCTGACATGGAAACATGAAGGGAAAAAAGTATAAAAGAAAAGTCAATTGATCCAGATGCCAGCCAATCATATACAAACCTGATTCAATCAAGGCAATCTAGGCAGTTCATAAACACATGTCTGATCTGCCCATCTCTACAGCTGGCTCTACAATAATTACAGTCATACCATGACAGCAATGAAGATGATTTTCTGGACCATCTCTAAGTCGGCAATGTAGCGTCGAAGCAGGTTCTGGGCCTCCAGACGCTCGACAGCATACAGGTCACTGAGGCGCGATACGAGGCGTGCATAGCGGGAGGAATTGGTGAGCTGAGCTCTGGTGGGCGACTCACTCCTCGCGGGGCTGGAAGAGCGACTGAGCCTAGGCAAGGGGCTCGGAGAACGACTTCTCACCAGCCTGAGAGAGCCGGAGAGAGAAACATGTAAAAACCACCTCATCATTTGATGACCAATTGTTCTGTGGGTGTTTGTATCCAGTATTTGCATGTGTGCAGGTATACCTCTCCTGCAGCATGGCCTTCTCTGTGCTCAGGTAGGACACCTCATCTCTCAGCAAGCGAATCTGCCGCTCATAGTCGTCAAGAGCCTCCAGCTTCCTCTTATAAATCTCCACCTGCTCACGTGCGGATCGCAAACTGCAAGACACACTTCACATCAACAGAGGAGTTCATACTGTATATGAAAATGAATATATGAGAGCAGCATCTGCCTGTATCACCCACTCTGCTTTCAGTTGTAATATTTCATCTTCAGTGGCCAGCAGAGTGGTTGCTGATTTGCTCTTTGTCTCACCCAGTTCTTTCTGAGTATCAATCAGTCTGTTAAAACAAAAAGTAAGGAAATGTAAAATTATGTTCAGAATGTCAGAGGGTATAAATGGAAATAAAATGTGCAAGCATTTGTACACATCCCCTTGTTCGTGGGCTGGTTTTGTTATAGTGACATTTTTCAATTATCCAACAACACCTAAACATGACCAATGCAAGTTGTGGTAGGAACCTCTAGCGTCCATTGCTCTACTCCTACTGTTTGATATCTCTTAAACACACTCTTCTCTAACAGAGTCCAGCTCCAGGCGAGTGGAGCACAGCTGAGTCTCCATCTTCTGCATGTCACTCTCATGGGAGACAGAGAGCTCCCTGATCCTCCTGTCCTTTTCCACCGAATCCTGATGATATCAAACAAAGATACAGTGCAAGTCATATACTGTGACCACAACACCAGGTGGCCGTAACAATAGTTGAAAATGATTCAAATTGTTTCAACGTTTGTTTTTTCCTGTCTAGAGCGTAGTGTTACACGGGATGAAATGAATATGATGGATTTATTAATGAGACATTGTTTGTTATGAAGCCAAGCTACAGATGATGTCACCTGGATAAGCTGTAGACTGGTGTCATCAGTGACCGAGGGCCTCGCCATAGAGAAACACGTTCCGAGCCACGGCAGCAGGCGCGTTTTGAGAGTGTCCACTCCGGCATAGTGTCCACCTGATTGTGTAGAAACAGTGTGTGTTGAATAGTTCATCAGTGATTTTATAACCTTGTTAATTATTTGTAAATAAAAACAAAGTCCTAGAACAAAGTAAACAAAGTCCTACAGCAAATGTAAATAGATTACATGTATATTGCTCTTTAACTCAAAGTGCTTCATAGCGAAAGGGGTGGGAAACTCATCTCAACCACCACCAATGTGTAGCACCCACCTGGCTGATGCACGGCAGCCATATGCACCAGAAAACTCACCACACATGAGTTCGAGGTGGAAAGGGAGGGAAACATAGAGTCAATTACTCTGGACATTGATTAATTGGCCAGATGGGGAAATCCAGTTTGGGACTTTGGCTGGGACACCAGGGAAACCCTACTCTTTGCAATAAGTGCCATGGGATCTTTAATGACAGTGAGTCAGGACCTGGTCCTCAGTTTAAAGTCTCCTCCAAAGGACGACATCTCCTACAGCACAGCATCCCTGTCATTACACCGGCACACTGGGATTTTATTATTAGGACCAGCGGGAAGACTGCTCCCATGTAAAGCTTACCTTCAGCGGCTGCGAGGTTGAGGATGGCAAACAGTTGGCCCTGGATCTTTGCAGTTAGTTCAATCAGCTCACAACATCTATTTAGATTCTGGTCACAGGAAATAACCTGAGGGTAAATATTAAAAAAGATGGGATGATGAACAAGATGAATGTTTGCTGTGTGCAGTCAAAGCCAAGGTAATTCCATACATATGGTGACAGGGAGATGTCTGTAAACAGGCAGTCAAAACTATATAGCATTTGTTATTTATATATATATATATATGAAGTTTGTCCGTCTGAATATATAGAATGAAAGTCTGAATATATGGAATGAAATTCTGAATATATTGAATGAAGTCTGGATATATAGAATGAAATAATCATCTGACGTCATTAAGGCACTGGCGCCATCTTGTGTTTTTGATGTGATTAATCCGTATGGATGTAATTGTGACACTATGAGCAAATAAGTAAGAAATCTAGTGTCAGCTATTTGGAGCATTGAAGAGATTACAAACACACTAGCAAATGCATGTACAAGCCATAATACTGGGAACCATATACAGTAGTTCTCCTGATGAAATAATTTATTCTCTTTCATCGGGGAAGACCGAATGCAGGAAACCTCCCAGGCCAGGCAGTTCCTGTTTTGCAGACAAACAAGCCTTCAACCTCACAGGTGACCGCTTAAGTAAGTTTCCATCCGAATTAATCTTTTAAACACCAAAGTCCCAGAAAAAATAACCTGGCAGCGGTAAAATTTTTTGTCAATGGAGTTCGGTGGCTTTGAAGAGAACGATATAACAGCTATTTCTGGTTAAACACAGGATCTTACTCTTTACAAAGTTACTGCCTGAGCCCTTTTGGGTGGACATACGAAGATTGTATATAGGGGTTGTTGTGGGGGGCACCTGTGAGGTTAAAGGCGTATTTCAGTTTGCCTGATAAACAGGAACTGCCTGGCCTGGGAGGTTTCCTGCATTTGGTCTTCCACGATAAAAGAGAATACATTTTTAGATCAGGAGAATGGTACTGGATGTGGTTTCCAGTATTTTGGCTTATACATGCATTCGCCAGTGTTTTTATAATATCTATATTGCTCAAAATTGCGGACGTTGGACACTTTCTTGCTGATTCACCAACAGTGTCACACTTCACATCAATGACCTCAGATTTCATTCACTATATTCAAACTTTCATTCCATATATTCAGACTTTCATTCAATATATTCAAGGTTCATTCCATATATTCAGATGGACAAACTTCATATATGTATATATTATTTCCTAAATGGCATGCCATAGTGCAACACAACCAAATGCAAAATGAATACTATACAGTGTTTATGTGTGCATTTATAGTGTAACCTGCAAGAAATTACTATATTTTAAGTTGAGAAAAATCCCTTCCGGTCCCTGTGCTAAACGCTGTTCCGGTGTAGCCAGCCGGCGGGTCTCTACAGGTGAGTACGTGAACCATCTCAGCAGAGAAAGATCTTTGGCACGACACCGGCAGCCATGGCGACTGGCGTCCATAGAAACCAAACTCTACCGGGAAATCAATGTAAACTAAACAAGAAACAGTCCTTTACTGTAATGTTTTAAATTATTTAATATTTCTCCTTCTTTTTCTGTGCTTCATATGCGGTATCAATATTAAAATGATGAAACAAATCTGTCCAGTCGACAGGAATAAACAAAGCAATTTATCATGTCTAAGGAGGCTCATGCCCGCAATGCTCTGACTAGCCTATAACTTAGATTTCAACTGCACTAAAATGTAACTTTCAATATAGGCTGTTTCACGAGACAAACATAGTGCAACAGATGGCAGAGTCTGGCCGAGGGCACTGATGAGTCAGATTTAGGTCACTCTTTACTTATTGATGAACTTACATGGTAGTCTTTGTGCCAGCTCTCAAGCTTGTCCTGTAAGACGCTGAAGGAAGATGTATTGGTCAGTCTCCTTAAAGTGTCGGCCATGTCCGTCCACAATCACTCTGAGGTTTAAAATGCCCCAGGAGGAAGACAACAGCCGGGGGTGTCGCGTTAATCTCTAAGGGGAGTGCAGTAAAAAAACAAAAAACAATTCCTGTCCTGCACCCAAGCACCGCCTCAGTTGTGGCAACCAAGTGAAGAGACGAGCCGACAACCAAACCACAGTGTTTTAAATAAATAATAAAACTTGTGGCGGATACACTACGAGCTCTCTAGGTCACTCCTCTGCAGGTTGTGTTCTGTCGTGATGTAAATACGATTGTAATGTCATACTGTCAAACGACACCAAAGGCCCGCGGAGTAGCTAAACCTTGTAGCTCAGGCAGCCTGTATGCTGATGTTTCCGCCCAAGTGGCTGTGGTGGATCAAATCCGATTATAATACAGTAGGCTATACTAAATCATTAGCACATTTAAAACCATAACAAGTAGTGTAATAGGCTAGGAGGAGACTACTGCAGATAAGAGGCCATCTACTCATGCCCATTTCCCTAATTTCCCTATAGTCATATTCATATTTAATATTGGTGGTAATAATAATAATAATAATAATAATAATAATAATAATAATAATAATACACGTAAACAGAATGACTTATTGTGAGCATTAATTATGAATCAGCTGTATCTGCTTTATCATTAATTTAAAGGTTTTGCGTTAAACAATAACACGAAATCACTGCCTGCCTTTTGCATTGCAATAGTTTGATTTAATAAAGTCAAGAGACAAAATGTTCTGCCTACACTTTGAGCTAACTGTGATTGTGGTTTATTTATTTTGTTTGTCACGTTTTACCGAATAAGGCTCATTAAGAAGGAGGGCCCCAGTGATACGGCCCGCTTGGCAGTTTACCTATGGAAAATATGAATGGACTATGTTTTTCTATTTTAGGATCCTTGTGTCACTGGTTGAACTTGGAATGGACCATCTGTTATAATCATAGGAACGTCCGTTTTCTGAGCACGCTCACTGCAAACTAAAATGCCATACTTGCTCTCGTTCGTAACGTGACGTTTTTATTCATAAATACGTATCGTCCAGTCAGTCATTTACAGCATAACCATTTCTTCTGCCTTCGACTGAGAAAAGTGGTATGCCCCGTGTTACTCGGTAAGCAGGAGAGGGAGGGTCAACATGGCGTCTGAGCAGGTCCGTTATGTTCAATATTTGTTGTTATGCTTGCATTTTACTCGTTTTTACTCGTTTTTTTGCTCACGTGTTTGTTAAGAGGGCAATGGTGTATAATCACGAATATAATAACCTGGCGTAATAAATATAAATGTACGGGGCTTTGCTATCAGCCCTACGATAGTGTCAGTGTAATAAACACTGGCCTCCGCTTCGTTATTGTAGGTAACGTTGTGTGGAAATAAGAACGCTATTATTGTAGCAGATCCGCTGTTTGACAGCAAAGTGATTTTGGAAATATATAGAGAATATAAGCGGTGTGATAATGGGACAATATATCTATTTGCTGCGAAAATGAGTGCAGTTTATTTTTAGTTATGGCCACAGACAGGCAGTCGCGGGGCATTTAACTGAGATGCATTCCAACGCAGAGCGCATGGGACGTTGAAATCAAGCAGGGACTTAAACCTGAAGTTTGGTAATGCTGTGGACAGTAGGCTGAATGTAGATTTGTGGAGAATTTCACACACAGAAGCCGTGTTTTACGACCAGTGTTACCTCTATGTGTAACATTACACTGTGATTTTGAGGAGAGTATCTGAAATGTGGAGGGGAAATCTGATTTTAAAAGGTCAACTCCAGTCTGTCTGTGTAGAGGACGACTATAAAAGTAAATAAATGTAAGGAAGAGTTATTTTTGATTTGTAGTTTCATGACTTGAAAAGAAGGACGGATTCCTTAAGATAGTAGGCCTACTCCTTGTGCCATGCATGCTTCAGAGATTGTTTTGCCTTCCAGGAGAGTTCCAATGGGCCCGTGAAGAAGTCCATGCGAGAGAAGGCTATAGAAAGACGCACAATTAACAAGGAACACAACAGTAACTTCAAAGCAGGCTATGTACCTATAGAAGAAGAACGCCTTCATAAGACAGGGCTGAGAGGACGCAAGGGAAACATGGCTGTTTGCATCGTTGTCCTCCTCTTCCTCCTCGCCTTAATTAACCTCATTGTGAGTACAACAAGCCTAAATGTACTTGTCCATGTTGCTGTTGCATGAGTCATGGTCTTTCAAATTCGAAAACAACTCTACTGTCCCTCAGATCACTCTGGTAATATGGACAGTGATCCGCATTGGTCCGCATGGGTGCGACAGTATGGAGTTCCATGAGACGGGCCTGCTGCGCTTCAAACAGAAGGCGGACATGGGCATCGTTCACCCACTGCACAAGAGCACAATAGGAGGCCGCAAGGACAAGGACTTAGTCCTTGTCGGCAACAGTAATCCGGTGAGAAACACAGAGTACATTTACAGTGAACACTGAGCATTTTGAAAACAGAAAATGACACATTGTGAGCACACCTCTTTTATTTTATGTATGTTGTTCCAGGTTGTGTTCCAGCAAGGCACTACCAAGCTGAGCGTGGAGAAGGACAAGACCTCAGTTGTCAGTGATGTTGGCATATCCTTCACAGACCCTCGCACACAGACCACGTACTTCAGCACAGACTTTGAAAACCATGAGTTTCATTTGCCCAAAGGAGTCAAAGTTCTCAGTGTTAAAAAGGCTTCAACAGAAAGGGTGTGTATAATGACTAATAGGTGTAAAAAAAAGTAATTCATTTATTATATTAGTGTTTCACAACCTGTGCTCCAAGTACTATCAGTACACAATACTACAAAACAGGAAAGTAAAATGTCATCTTCAGAAATTTTGTAAATGAATAACTAAAGCAGTCATCTGGAACACGCTGAGCTGTATCAGTGTAAAATGGAAAAAGTTTTTTCAGTTTTCCACATGGCAAAAACGAACGTACACAACCCAGATTGAAAATGTGATTATCCAGAGAGACATGAAGTTTGCAGTTCACCTGTGCTCCCTGGCTGGTCTGACAGAGCCTGAGAGAATCTGAAAGAAAAGCAGGTGCTGTATGTATGTCAGCGCATACAGCAGCATTACTCTGTGCCTGAATATGAATATTTACATTTATTCATTTAGCTGACGCTTTTCTCAAAAGCCACTTCCAGTTGCTAAATATTGCTTGTCAGAGGTTGCACAGCTCTGGAGCAACCAGGGGTTAAGTTTCTTGCTCAGTGACACATTGGTGTATTTGTCACAATGGGGAATTGAACCTGGCATCTCACACCTAAAGTACGTGTCTTGATCCACTGTCCCATCACCACCCCAATAGATCAAATTTTAGCTTTACTTAAAACTTATTTTCAAAACTTGCTTTCACATTGTAATTGTGTTGTATTCTGTGTGTTGATGGCAAATTGATGGCAAAATATATCTTTACATTAAGTTTATAACACATACATATGTGGAAAAGAGATAGGAGTCTAAAAACTTTCCAAAGCCCCTGTGTATGCTGTTTAAAGTGGTTACCAATCTCATTTTTTGTCTCTGATCTTAGATCACCAGTAGTGCAGCATCTGACCTGAACATTAAAGGGGACAGCAAGGCCATCATTCGTGGAAACGAGGGCGTCAACATCATGGGTCGGACCATAGAGTTTAAAATGGGTGGAGGCATCGAGCTCAGGGCTGTAAGTATGAAATGTAGCTACATGTCCTGTTAATAATAATAATGCGTGACTCTGGGGACCTTTTTTTCAATGTTTTATTTCAAAATAAAGGTTTTGCAAACTCTTTTATGAATACAGTTTAAAGCTGATAAAGGTGAATACGTGAGGATGGATGGATTTTCTGTTTGCAGGAGAACAGCATTGTCCTCAATGGATCAGTCATGTTCAATGCTACACGCATCCCTAATTCTGCAGGAGACGTATATTTCGATGAAGGTCTGGAGAGGTACAAGCTCTGCATGTGTGCAGATGGGACTCTGTTCCGTGTGCAGGTGAAATACCCCAACATGGGCTGCCAGACCTCAGATAACCCATGTAGAAAAGCTCACTAGGAGACGTGACTGGAATCTTCTGTCACATCTCTCTACAATCTGTCACCACTGAAGTCAGATTACAAATTTGCATTTACAGAACATTCATCATAACTTGCACATAATAATACCTCTGCAGCTCACCTAACAAATTCTGTATTCCTCATTTTGTTTGCCAAACAGGAGTTGTGTTACAAATGATTGCCAGTTGGCCAAAGATATGACTATACTTGTAAGTGCTGAAGTATTTTATTGTTCTGCAGGTTTGCCAATTTTATTTAAAATGTATAATGCCATATCAGTGCATAACACTCCTATATTTAACATTATACTGTGGTTTAAACTGCTCATTGATAGCAATTAGAAGCTAAAGTATTTATTTTTTGCCTTACCGTCCAGTATTACTAATATACAGACCTTGCAGAGGGGTTGTATAAGATTTTATTTGCTGTTCATTGTTTCTGGCAGCTGTGTTTAATATTTTCTTTATTATTATTATTCACTGACGAGCGTGAGACACTATAGGATTACAATGACTTATCTAATATTAAATTTGGGATAAACTGTAAAACACAAGATATATTTTAAGCCATCCAGTAATTCTTAAGCGGAGTAGGTCGCTTTCTGCACATCTTGGCCTGTCTATCATGCACGTGCCAATGGATATACAAGGGATGATGTAGAATATATGTAATATTCTAATTTTGTTGCAAACCTTTTTTACAGCGAAATAATACAATTTTGAAAAACAGAACGAGAGTGCGTGCACTAAGATTATGCTACAGATGATTAAATGTTGGGATTCATGAATCAGGAAAGTTTAAATAATCAGTTGCTTGGTTTGAAGCCTATATTGAGTGCTCTGAATTTTGTGCAATATAGTATAAAAAGATATGACTTTCATTTTGCTTTGTATTGTCTTGTCCGATGTGGAGAGTAAGAGTGTTTTTGATCAACTAAAAAAACAAGGCTATCAGCCGTATTTGAAAAGTTCTCATTGCTATGTTTGTTTCAATAAAGAAACGTTACTATGTGAAACTTCTTATCATTGGCTTCTATAAATGTCTCAAGTGTTTACATGGTCATTTAAAATCATAAAACATTACTGTGCCTCATTATGCCGTTTTATTATCTAATAGAATGTGCAACAGGGGCATGTTCCCTTGCCATAAATTTTCAGGATCATAGTCATCTACCATACATAAAGAGGGAAACAATGACAGTAAGACATTAACCTGACGTGTAAATGATTGAGTGAATCGCAGAATGTCATCTTTGGGTAGGTGCATGTTAAGCTA